TGCTATTCTGCTTACCTTTTGTGGCCATAAGGTGAACAACCTGACCCACCATCGTGCAATTGTCAATGAGAAGTTTTTGAAATTGTTCAGGTTAGATGATGATTTTGTGGATCGACTGCACTACCTCTACACCTCCACCTTGATACTAATGTTTGCTGTTTTAGTATCCGCTAAGCAATACGGTAAGTGCTGTTCATTCTTTCATCTCCTGCTCTCTCCTCACCTATTTACAGTTCTATTTCCCAGATACCACTTAGCTTGTCTCACTTACTGTCACAATTTTTTGCTTGAGTTCCTATATTCATGAGTGTTCATGAACCATTCAAGGCACAAGCCAGGTAGAAACCTGGATACTCCTCTTTCCGCACATAGTCTCTCATTGCCTTAAAGGCAAGGGTCAGGATCGTGTTGGGGTCTATGGCGTGAAAACGAGAGCGATAATGTGGCTTGTGACTCAGTGAAGAAAAAACGAGAAGAAACAATAAGCGACGATAGGAAATGAGCTTCCTTCCTCCTTAACAGCAGTAAAGAGCCTCCTGTGCATGAGTGTCCCGGCGAATTCTGCGAACTTGCTTTCCTGATTTTCTCAGTCATTTGATGCTTTTTAGAATGGATGAACCGTATGAACCTATGGGTGAAAAAGGATAAAGCATTTGCCGTTGATCAATCCCTTTTGGGATGCGGCACGCATTCTACTTCCATTTGTACATTCGTAGTGGCGTTTGAATGCGATGTGGCCTATACAATGACTTGCGGGGGCCAGCCGATGTACAAGTCAGTGTTTTTATCCTCCCAGACAAGTCTGGTACCAATTAACCGACCCCGGAGGGATGGAAGGCTTGGTTGGCCCGGGCGACTCACGACCCAGGATTTGATCCCCGGACCGCTCGCGTGGTAAGCGCGCCACTTGCCACTACACCCAATCCCCTTGTGATTCGAGTGAGATGCTAGAATGCCATGAATGCCACCTCTAGCGGTGACGGTCATAGCTTGAGTTAGGCAGCGATGGCTCAGAATAAAGAGCTGGGGCGTTGTTACCGCTCGCTTTCAAGTCACGAGTGTAGCTTCAACTC